GACTCTGGCAGTGATGCCCACCTCTGCCGCCTCCGTCCCGTAAGGGCCCCAAGTCTCGTGAGTGCAGGGGTGGCACCTGCCGTGGAGCGCCCTTGATTGGGATGATCCTCTCAGCCCCCCGGGGGGTCCGTGTTGGGGTGGCACACCCCACCCCCCTGGGTTGGGAGGGGGCCCTTGAGGGTGCTGAGAAGAGGCAGCTGGGTGTGCTGGCCTGTGTCCAGGGGCCAGGTCTGAGCCTGGGGTGACCTCCAGCCCGGTGGCCTTAGCCCACAGGCCTACCACACAGGTGCACGGGGCCGCTTGCCCCAAGGGGGAGGCAGAAGCTGGAGAGCGGCCCGCACCTCCCTGCTCCCTAGAGCTGCCTGGAGCGGGGGAGCCTCAGAGCGCGTCGCGCCTGCCCTCTGGTGGCCATTTCAGGGACTCCGGGCCGGAAGAAGAGCGAGCCACTGCCCTAGTCAAGGGCCTGCAGTGCTCCCCCCGCCCCCAGTGCCTCAGCGTCCCAGTGTGTCCCCAGCAGCCCTGTGGGTGGCTGTCCCCAGGCTGTCACATCCACGCTGGCCAGGCCCCTCAGTCCCCGCTCCACGTCCTGCCTTTCTCATTGTGCCCTATTTCTATGGCACCTCCTCCCTCCCCGTCTCTCGGGGTCCCTTCCTGCCCCTGGGGTCCTATGAGGCCTGTCCACCTGCTCTATGTTCTCGGCACCCGCTGCCCCTCCCCGGCCCCAGGGTGCCGGCTCCACCTTCTTGCCCTCCGTGAGCCCTCTGGGGCCCTTAAACACACCGCGATCCCCACCCCCAGCTCAGGCCGTGCCGTGGCCCTGACAGAACCTTCCGGTGCAGGACACGTCTGGGAGGCGCCGTCACGGGGCGCTTGGAGGCACCGCCTGGGTCAGATGGCTTTAGACTTCCAGGCTCACTGGTCTCCGGCACTCACAGTAATAATGATAAAATGGGGCACAGTTGTCCAGCGCTTTCTGGCGTCAGGCACTGTTTCTGGCACTTTCCACGAAGAATCTCATTCAATCCTCACCAGCCTCTTTTGAACTGGGTACTGTTTTAGCCTCCCCATTTTCCCAATGAGACACTGAAGCCCAGAGAGGTTAAGTAAGCTCCCCAAGGCCCCCAGGCCAGCTAGGCTCTGCAAGCCTTGTTCTCCATAAAGGCAAGCAAGGGGCGCCCGGGGGGCTCAGTCGGTTAAGCGTCCGACTTCTTTTTTTTTTTTAGGTTTATTCAGGGGAGAGAAAGAGAGCATGAGCAGGAAAGCAGAGGGGAGAAAAGAATCCCAAGCAGAGAGGCTCTCACTGGCTGGGGGAGGCTTTCGATCCCTTGAACCCCTGACATCATGACGAGTTGAAGCTCAAATGGGATCTTAGCAGATTGAGCCACCCGGTGCCCCAGCCACAGCTATTTTTTAAAATTAATTGTGCTTATTTATTTTGAGGGGAGAGAGAGAGAATGAGCAGGGGAGAAAGCAGAGAAGGGACAGAGGATCAAAGTGAATGTGCTGAGCAGGAAACAGCCCAGTGTGGGGCTTGAACTCCCGACCATTTGCGTGAGATCATAGGCCTGAGCAAAGTCAGAGAGGCTCTGTCGACTGAGCCACCCAGGCACCCCAGCTATTGTTTAAAAACTTTGTTGAGGTATATAACTTCCCACATACCACACCAATCACCAGCTTACAAGAGAACAGGGTGACGGTGGTTAGCAAATTCCGCGGACGCGTCACGACATCACCACGTGGATTTTTGAACATTCATCCGCATAAAACAGACCCTGCCGCGAAGCCAGCTATTTGTAAAACCAACTACAAAGGGACACCTGGGTGGCTCAGTCGGTTGAAAGTGTCGACTTTAGCTCGAGTCATGATTTTTGCAGTTCGTGATTTCCTTCTTACGTCCGACTTCGCTGCTGTCCGGTGCTGACCCGCTCTGGATCCCTAGTCCTACCGCCTCCCCGCTTGCCTTCTCCCAAGCAAAAACAATAAATTAACTATATTGTTTCACATCAGTAATGTACATGCTCCATGGTACAAAATTCAAAAGGTACCGCATAGAGCATTACAGTGAAAGAACGTCCCCCCTCGCGCTGGCGTGAACCCCTGCCCCCAGAGGCATCCGTGGGCGCGAGTTTTCTTATGTCACCGAGGGGTAATCTGGCACACCTGAGCGAGTGTCAAGAGTATGGACTTTATTTTCCCCAGCGGTGCGATAGTTTAGCTTCGGAGGAGAATCATTGTAAATTCACTTGCGGTTGTAAGAACAGACAGAGACCTCTCTGTCCTTCTTGAATTCCCCAAAGGCAACACGTAACTAACGTCCTCTTGTCCTTCTGTGCTACGACAGAGATAGCGTCAGGCTGGGTGGCTGCCCGCCTCACTTGTCACAATTTTACAGGCGGGAAGTCTGAGATCAGGCAGCTGGCAGATTTGGGGTCCGTGGCGTCTAGCGGGGGGCCAGATTCTGGATTTTAAACTGACGTCTCACTCCACTGTGGCATGGCGAGAAGGGTGAGGTTGCCACGCTTGGTCGGCGGCGAGGGCTTCACTGCGGCTGACTTTCCCAGCTCAGGACCAGATCAGCTCGGCGGCCTGCGCCTCCCACTATCATCCCTGGGGTTAGGACTTGACATAGGACTAGAACACAAGCGTTCAGTCTATAGTAGCGCAAGCACAAACAGGAGGCTGGGCCGTTGGTGTGATATTCTTTACAGCCCTATTCAGAATTTTACCAGTTTTAGAAATGTGCTTTTTTGTTTCAAAGACTTCTTTTTTTTTTTTTTTTTTTAATTTTTTAAATGTTGTTTCTATTCAAGAGAGAGAGAGAGACAGAGCAGGGAAGGGAGGGACAGAGAGAGACAGACAGACAGACAGACAGACAGACAGAATCAGACCAGGCTCAGGCTCGAGCTGCCAGGCCAGCGGTGGGGCTCGAACTCTAATTCCCGTGAGATCATGATGACCCTGAGCGAGAAGTGAGACTCAACTGACTGAACCACCGTAAAGACTTTTAAATGCGAGCAATTTTAACCATAAAAGTGAAGGAAGGCTGAAGACTCCCCACCGCCCTCTACCCATCCTGTGCCAGAGTCATGTAGTGCTTGATGAACCAGTCATTGATGAACCCCTGTGGACACGTCACAGCGTCCAAGGTCAAGTGTGTCACGGTTCACTGTTGCTCTCGTACATTCACCGCGGGCTGGGACAGGTGGGCTGGCCGGCCCGGTGACCCACAGCCACCATCGCATAGTATCCCGAAGGCGTGAGGACACCGCTTGCAGCGTTGACCCGATGACCAGAAGAAGCTCTCCAGAGGCAAGTGGCTGAGGCTGCTGCGCCAGCTGGAGGTGCGATGGGATCTCCCTTCCTCCCGCCCTCCCCCAGCGGGTGCTGTGCCTGGACCCCAGCGGCCCCTCCAGGGCACACGGCACCCACCCCCCGCGGGAGGGCCTGTCCTTCTCGGTTAACGTCGACCGTCTCTTCCCGCCCGTCCTCTGGCAGAGATCACCAAGCCGCCCTCCGACGACACCCCGGCCCACGGCAGTGCCATCGGGCCGGTCGTGGGCATCATCCTCTCGCTCTTTGTCATGGGCGGGGTCTACTTCGTCTGCCAGCGCGTGGTGTGTCAGCGCTACACGGGGGCCAACGGGCCCTTCCCGCACGAGTACGTCAGCGGGACCCCCCACGTACCCCTGCATTTCATAGCCCCCGGCGGCTCACAGCACGGCCCCTTCACAGGTGAGGAGCCGACGTGCGCAAGGGCCCTGGGCACGGCTGGGGTGAGCGGGGAAGACGTACCCTGGCGGTGGGCAGAGGGGCCTGAACCTGGGCCTGGGGGCCGCGGGAGCTGAGGAGGGTGTGCTTTGGGGGGTGGGGGGTGGCCCGGCCCCTGAGCCACCTCGTCCCTCCCCCCGCGGCAGGCATCTCCTGCGGCAAGTCCGTGATGAGCTCCGTGAGCCTGATGGGCGGCCGGGGCGGGGTGCCCCTCTACGACCGGAACCACGTCACCGGGGCCTCGTCCAGCAGCTCATCCAGCACCAAGGCCACGCTGTACCCGCCGGTGAGTGGGCGCGGGAGGAGGCCCGGCCATCCGGGGGGGTCCCCACCATCGGTGGCTGGCCAGGGGGACCCCCTCCTGTGACCTTGGCATTCCTGGAATTATCAGCTGTCCCGCCGTCACAGAGAATGGTGACAGCGTTCACTTTCCCCTCTCTGCACATCTTGTCGTTTTTCCCTTGTGACTTTTTTATTTTTATTTTTTTCCTGTTTAGAAAGGGTGCTCCTTGTTCATGGTGGCTAATCTGGAAACCCCATAACAATATCAAGGGCGGAGTCTCCCCCATAACCCCACCTCCCGGGTTGCCGCCGGGCATTTCAGTGTCCCAGAGATTGTCTTTGACCCTTGCAGGCCCACCCTGTCCGTGACTGTGTCTCTTGTAGGGCCTGTCTGGACGGGGTGCTCCCAGTGTGCCTGTGTGACTTTCTCCTTGCTGTCCCTGCCAAGAGCACCCGATGTTCCCTCCCAGGCCCTTGCTGGGTCCCAGAAAACAGCTGGGTTGTTTTCCAAAGGGCTGGCACTCACAGGTGACTTTTGTGGCTGAGCTTCCAGAGCCGGAGTGGGTGAGGGCCTAGTCCAAGGCAAGCCACACGCTAGAGAGAAGTGGTCACACAGAGGGTGACACACAGAAGCCCCCAGCGCCCGAGCCCCCTACAGGTTCCTGCCAGGGGACCTCTCCCGAGGCTGGGGAGGACATTCCCAAGGGCACGGCCCCAGGGAACGGGGCGAGCTTGATGCGCGAGTGTGAATCTGTGTATATAAGCATCGGGGCTGGCATTACGTGGTTCTGTGCTTTTTGATCCTTAAAAACCCAACTTCCTGCAGCAGATGCTCCTCTAAGGTGACCTCTGCCTCTTGCGCTCTCTCTGGGGGCCTCCAGGAAGCCCCACCCACCAGGGCTGGGCGTTGCTGCCCTGCTTGTGTCTCTCATGTCCAGGCGGTCCCCTCCTTAGCACATCTGACACTGGCAGGCGTCTGGGAGGAAGGGGGCAGCAAGGGTCGCTGTCGCGGCCTCACCTGCTGGGAACCGCGTCTCCAGGAGGCTGCAGGCCGGGTCTGCGTCTAGGGGCAGCAGAAGCCAAGAGCCGAGAGCCTGGAGTTTAGAATACTCCCACCGTCCGCCTGGTCCTCTCTGCCACTACTGTCCCCCTGACATTCACATGTGCCACATGACCAGCTGGAAATACCGGCGATCGTGAAAGGCCGAGCTCACTCCAGGACAGCCCCCTGGGTCCCCCATGCAGATACCGGGAGGCTCAGTCCCCTGGCTTCTCGGTCCTCTGGCTCTGCTGGGAGCTGAGGGGAGGGGGTCTTATTAGCAAGAGATGACACTATTACCAACCAGCTATT